ATATGGGGGGGCAGCTCAGGGGCAGGAATGGGACCCACAGACTCAGGCTGCAGCCTGAAGGGCCCATCACGCCCGTCATCCAGCCTTCTGCACGTGGCCGGCCACGGCCCCTTCCCCACCCCCCTGCAGCACCCCTCTCACAGCCCCTCCCCCACTTCCCACCTCTCTCACAGCCCCACCGGGCACAGGGGGGGCATTGGCTCCCCAGGACCCAGCACAGCACAGCCTGGTCAGCACAGGGACTGGGGCTGCCAGGGCAGCCCGGTCTGGGGGAGAGGGACCCAGACCCACGGCCCTGCACCCATAGCCAGACCAGACTGAGCCGCAGGAGGGGAATGTGGCCCAGGCAGGCGCCTTCTTTGGCTGAACAGAGCAAGTTTTGCTTCCCTTCCCGTCCCTTCCCTTCCCCTCTCGCTGGCTCTGGCTCTAGGGGCATGTGGGCTGCGCAAGGGGGAGGCTGAGGAATGCCCCGGGTGTGGGTTATCTCCCAGCTACATAGGATGGGCCCGGGCCCCTTCCTTCCCCGCCTGTGAGCTCTCGATTACAGGAATTGGTGCTGCAGAATCTGCCCCTGAGCGCTGGAAGTGCTGCCCAGGGTGCTCACCGCCGTACACCCAGCCCAGGGACCGGTGGGGTCCTATGCCCCATACTGTCCTCCGCCTCTGGCCACTCGCCTGCCCGGGAGGATAGGGAGGGGCGGTGGCAGCCAGGTGCCTGCATGTGAACCACACTCTTGGGGGGAGTGTCGGGAGTGTCCTGCGTGTGCACTAGGGAGTGAAATCCCCTCGCACGACTTAGTGGGGGAAATGGCCAGTGTAACCAGTGAACTGAGTAAAGTGGAGGGGGCTCCAGTCTCTCTGCTCCTGGCCCGGGCAGGCCCAGGATGGGCAGTGCTCCCTGTGTAGCCAGGTCCCCGGTTCCCCGTTCCCACCCCTGCTTTGCACTCCCAGGTCCTGAGCCCCCTGCTGTGCTCCGCCCCCCCATCCCTCTGCCCTCTCCCCTTCATGCCGGCCATGCCTGCCGCTGCTCTGTGGGGCTGTGCTCCTGGGCAGGGCTGGGCTTGCCTGTTAGCACCTGCTGTTGTCACCCAGCGAGCTACAGTCGTTCTGCTTCCTGTTGGTGTGGGCACTCCTGGCACCTCCCTCCGCCCACCACCGGCTCTCAGATGCGCCTGTCTCGCTCGCCACCCTCTCCGGTGGGTCTCGCCTCCTGCCCCACACGGGAATCAGACTGGGCAGCCCAAGGGCCCCTCCCAGTTCCTAGTGCACAGCCCTTCCCGCCAGTGGTGCCACCCCCAGCCTGGAGTCTGTGCCCCGCCCAGCTTAGGGGGTGCCTGTCCCATCAGCACAGCTCTCTGTCCAGGGCCCCCAGCATGGCACAGCCCCCTGCACGTGTCCAACAGAAACAAGAGACCTGGGAGGGGGCTCTGACCCAGGAGCACAGGGCGCTGGATGGACATGGGGCTGGCAATGGGGCAGGGCTCTGATGTGGGGAGCTGGGGCCTAGCTGGCCCAGGAGTGGGGTTTCAGCAATAACTCTGCTCTCTCCCTGCAGCAGGAGCCGGGGGCTGAGCCGGAGCCGGGGCGCCCGGTGCAGCTGGTGCGTCTGGACGAGGACGGGGGCCTGATCCTGGACGAGGAGGCCCTGAGCCGCTGCCTGGAGCAGGGTGGGGTGGGGGGCGCCCCCGTCTGCCTGGTGTCCATC